AATAATTTGCTTAGGCCTTGCTTAATGCCTACAACTGTTCGTTTAACAACGGCCACAAAGGAAGTGAGGAATGGGCGGGTCAGGGGCTGACCCTCTTTCCGGCCGTCACGTGTTACAAGATGGCGGGGAGGCTCCATGACGGTCGTAACTCGAGGATCATCTTCACCCAGCAGCACCCGCCTGTTCCCAGCATCGGCCACAGGCAAACGCCCCCCAAGCGCAGAGCAGGACCCCCAAAGCTCCCCCTCTCCCTTCCGGGGTGGCAGCCTCCCCAAGGGGCTCAGGGCAGCGGATCCCACTCCCCCCCCCAGGGGGCAAATCTGCTTTCCTGGGGAGGCCCCCCTTTCAGCTGCCAGGCTGGGTGGAGATAAAGCCGCCCCCGGAAGGCCCCACTGATGGAGCTGGGGACCCCCGGGGCAGCCGGGCAGAGGCCCAGCTTGGCCTGAGGTAGCTGGGTGCGAGAGCCACGCAAGGGCCTGGAGGAGCTCTGGCTCACCTCCCAAAGGGGGGCAGGCATCCCGAGGGGGAGCCGGGGGTCCTCGGAGGCAGAGCTGTCTCCCTCCACCCCCCCCTCAGGCCCCGCAGTTGTCCACGCAGTCCTGTCCACTCTTGAAGAGGTGGTAGACGCTGGTGGGGGGGAACATGACCAAAGCCCCCAGCAGGGAGCCCGCCTGGATGACGGCCCCGCACCAGAGGAGGCCCGCGTGGCCGGCTTCATGCAGGAGGCTGCTGATGGCCACCTTCACGTAGGCAAAGAGGCTGGAGAAGAAGGTCCAGGCCATCACCTGCAGGGACGGGAGAGACGGCTGAGTTAGAGACCCTCCGGAGAAGCCCACCTGTCATCTGACAGACAGACAGACAGACAGAGAGAGGGAGCAGCGGAAGCTTTGAGCCCACGTCCAGCAGAGGCTCAGCCCCCAGGGAAGGAAGGAATTATTATTATTTACTTATTCCACCTCACTGCAAGAAATAGAAATAATCAAAAACGACATTTAAAAGGAAACAGAAACAGGCAAGACTGTGGGCAGCCCCCAGGGGTCTTTTTCTGCCCTCCCCTTTATGAACCTCTTGCAAAGGGGAGGGGGCAGTGGGGGAGGGGCGTTTCTGGAGACACGGGGGGGCGGGGTTATCTCCAATTCCTTGGGGAGATCCAGGAACGAGTCTCCCTTTGGCAACGGAGGCTCCTGGGGAGAAGGGAACCAGCCTCCCTCGCAGGGCTGTTGTTGGCAGATCCCCCTGAATGGCACGAACCCAGCAGCCCTAGGGGGGTCTTCACAACCTCCCTGCAAGGAAGGCCAGCTGGCCCTGCAGCAGCCCCGGGGGCTCCAGGGTCAAAGGGGGGTTGGGAGGGGGGGTCCTGCTTTGGATGCCACTTTGCCCAAGTGGCTCCCCCTCGTGGGAAAAGGAGGACTTGGAGAGGAAAGGCTTGGTGGGGGGGGGGGGAAGAGGGGGGCACGGG